GCTTCAAAGATCAAAACAATACCTTAAATCTAATGTGTTTATAAGTCAGGAGAGGGTTCTTGAGAAATTATTTGGTGGTGATGATGATATGGAGTGGAGATAGGTGAATAGTATAATAAAAGAAATTGATTTTTGCCTAAGAATGGCGATAGACTAAACTTGATCTTTGATAGACTGAACTTGATCTTCAAATCTTCAAAATCTTTTAGATTTTTAAAAATAATTTTTATTTGACAATTTTTATAGTAATAAATATTTATTACCCTGTTTCTGAAATCCTATAATACTTTTCTCTAAAGAGATTCACTTAAGAATTTTGTATCTGTTGTTGGGTATACATAATGTTTCTTAGCATTTATTTGTGGTAAGTTTACCTATTGTCCACATTGGTAAAAGTATAGACTCTTTTCAGATTTCTTGATTATCTTTCAAGATAAATGTCAAGAGGTGACTTCCAACCATACATTTTTTTCATTAAGTAGGTAATTCTCTTAGGGGAATAAATGTCTGAACTCTGGTACAAGATCAAGGATTGAATCCTAAACTTCTGCCGGCTTAGTTTTCCTATCTATAAAATGGGTATAATGTGGTTTTTTTTTTTTTTTTTTTTTTTTTTTTTTGGCGTTAGGATTTTTGGGATAATAAACTTAACAGCAGCTACATGGTACTTAGCACAGTATTTTTGTTTGGGAAACTATGCAATATCCAGCGCTCCTGTCAGTGATCTAACCTATTAGTAGCTTCAACCCTTTTGAGTTGGAGGAAATTTGGTAGTAAAGGGAGAGGGGATATCTTCTCTGTTAGGTGTTAAGGAATTAATTTTGAGTTTGTGACTTTCTTTAAAGGCTAAAAAGTAATTTTTAATAAAACAGAATTTTTCATCACCACTTGGGTTTTTGAAGCAATGCCTAACTTTATGCTTGAATTAGAAAAGTCATTGAGGACTAGTAATCCAGTTGTATATTTATGTCAATGTTTATTTTGTTTTATGCAGGATAAGTTTTTCAACCCCAGTATCCCATCTTTGGGTTTGCGGAATGTTATTTATATCAATGAAACTCACACAAGGTAAAAATAAATTTTTTATACTTAAGATAAATCTTGAAAATAAAAAACTCCATAATAATTAATTAACATACTTCCAGAATCTTTGTTTTTGAGAGTTAATAGTATAATGAACTTCTGACATAAGAGGCTTTATCTAAAAATTTAAAGCAGTATAATCACTTGAGAGTCCTATTACTATATCCCTGTTGTAATTATATAATACATATTTTCATACTCACCACTTACGGCTTTTTCTAACTTAACTATTGGTTTTGCATGTGAACTGTGCCAAAATGAAAAAGCTTTGGTTGAGGGGAGATATAGATTTGAATGTCTTATGATATATTATGATTATTTTACACTTATAAAGAAGAATAGCCAATTGAAATCTATAGTTTTAGAAGATATTTTCCTCTTTTGGACAAATCTTTCTTGATTTATTATTTGCTCAAGACTTAGAATTCTTACTTCCAAAGTCTAGGCATATGAGTGTGGGCTATCACACACCAGAGTGAGAGAAAAGAGGCTTTGTTTTATGTGAATCTAGGCTAGGGGATAAGGGAAGGGGGAAGGACAGTTGTGTGTGAGTCTTGAGGTAAGAGAGAAATGGCAGCCCAAAATGCTACCAGCTTTGTAATTGTGAGAGTAAATGTCTAGAGATGGTGAGCAGTAGGCTCAAGTCATGAGAAATACTTGGATTAGTTAAGATTTTTTTTAAATCAAATTATAAAGTTAGTGGACATAGTTATTCCTCATTCCACTGCTACCCTTCTCTTTCTTATGCCCTCCTAAATTTAAATGAGAAAGGAAACATTCTGATTCACTGAATTCCTCTCCATCTTTGTTGACATGATCTTAAAAGAAGGAATCTGATAATTTTTTCTTCTTTATGTAGTAGACATTTTACATATAAACCCAAAGGGTTGCTTGCTTTCAACTGAATGTGGTTAAGGGGAAAAAGCATATGCTATGTTTGACTAGGCAGTGTGAAAGTTTTTAATGGAATAAGCTGCCTGTGTAATTGACTTGGCTATTTAGCTCTTCTGTATGTTATATAAAGCAAAGCCTTAGAATTTTTACACACACACACAAACACACACACCTTTCAGTCAATTTGCAAAGAGATTTCATAGAGATCTTGGACTTTGTACATTACATGGTAATCCTGAAAATGTTCACTAAAGAGTTTAAACACTTAGCAAATTGAGCCAAGTTTTCAGAGAATTGAGACAGAGGAAAGGAGGGAGAAAAAGAGGATGTCAGGAAGGAGAGAGAAAGGAACAAGTGATTCATAAATAGTTCCCCCTCACATTACTTTTCCTCAACAAAGGACTTTTTGCATCTTTTCAGAATTAATTTTTATTTGAAATCTTCTGTTGTCTATATGAACGTCATCATGGAGGAAGTGATACTGAGGCATTATATAACCATTGCAAATGATTTTTATTTCAAATCATTGCATAATGAAGGTTTGTAGCATTCTTATTCTGAGATCCCTGTCCTCCATCCCCCATCCAAACAGCACAGTCATTGACACTGATTGAAATATATACTATTCCTTTGGTATGTTAAATGTTTAAAAAGGATAAGTCGTAACTGATGGCTTCATGAGTCCAGCTTACACATATTCAGATCATTGTCCCCTTATCCTTGACTTCTGAATTGATTATTCTTGTCTATTGAATTTGTAAGTCAGAAGTATTAGTACTAATTAGGTTTAGTTTTCTAGTATATATACTGGAAGTATTAGTATAATTTTAAAAAATTACCCTTCATGGTAGGAAAAGATTTCCAAATTATCTTTCAATAGCCTGTAGCTATAGTGATATACTATATAGTAATCAACATACTTGCTTTTATATGATAGTAATAAGGATGTTTTTATTTCTTTGTTTTTATATTTGTGTTAATTTCTGGCAGGTTAATACACAGTTCTCAAGTTTAAATTTTAACTGAGAGTACATGAAAGATATTAGGAATAAAATTGTCTCATCCTGAACTATTTAAGAAGAATTTTCTGTAGTAGAAACTCAAACCAGGATTAGATGAAATGAGACTGCTTTATACCTCCGTAGAATTGAAGTAGCTTACTTTCGGTGTTCCCAGAGTAGTTCTCCACTAAATTATTTTCACATTGCAGGCACCGAGGATGGCTTGCAAGGTGTCTTTCTTATGTGCTTTTTGTTCAAGAGAGAGATGCCCATAAAGGCATGTTTGCCACTAATGTGACTGAAAATGTCCTGAACAGCAGTAGGTAAGGGTGGGGGTGCTGTTGTGAAGGGGAGGGGCAGCAATGGGATGTGGGAGTGGGAAAGTATTGTCCTATTTAACCTTCATTTTCTCTGGAACTCTGTCTCAAGAGGTGTTTGTGTTTCTAAAAATTTAATGATAAATTCTAAAGGAAGCCAAGGAAAGGCAGGAGAACAGATGGTTTTGGTGAACAGCACCACGTGGGAATAGCAGTCATGTTTTATAGATTAACTGCTGGTTCAATTTCTAATACATGAAAGGTAAATTGGAGTTCAGAAATGCACATATGTCCAGAGTTCTGTTAAATTTTCTGTAATCTGAATGGGGACATTAAATTTTCTATTTTATAGCCAAGAGAGAAGTAAATTTGATATTTCTGTAAAAAAAATTATTGGATATACAGGCACAATTTCTTATACTGGAAAGTCATTGTTAGACATTTCAGGAGAATAAGATAATCTCCTTAAGAGCTCCCAGCGGAGCATGCTTACAAATGGAAGAGACTGTGTTGAACACAGATGGAGTGGGAAAGAAGTCATTCTGATGTTTTTGCTTTAAAATGGGAGTTGGGGTGAAGGTTGGTCTCTGTTATTTGGAGCTTCCTGGCATTGTTATATTTTCTACATTCCTATGTAAAAACTGTCAGGTATGTTTCATTTCATCCAGATATGGTGATTAGTAACTGGTAACTAGGATGTTAAGTGATTTAGGACATTTGACCTCATGTTCTTCCATAAATCGTGTGGAAGGTTTATTATAAAACTGGATTAACTTTTGCTTTGATAGCACTGTTTATGCTGTGTGTGTGTGTGTGTGTGTGTGTGTGTGTGTTGAATTACTGGTTTGATTTTGAAAACTCTTCTAAATATTATATCCTCTGAATCCTCCTACAGAATTTTACCTACAATTCTATGAATAGTATCACAATATAGATGTAATAAATTAGGTCTTCAGGGAAAAAAAAAATCCTCCCTCATTGTTTTGGCAGTGGTTTTTGGATACCTCTGAATTATATACCTAATGGTATATAACAGGTGCAACTTTGTATCTCTCTTAGCATAGCTGAAACATTCAAATACACATAGTTTTCACTGGGTGCATCTGAATTCAGTTCTGTAATCAACCTCTGATTCTTCAATGGTTCATTAGTTTAGGAATATAACATCCTTAGTAGTTAATAGAGAACCAAAGAAAACTCTTCTAACTTCAGTTTATTTTCTCATGTTAAAAGAAGATACATTTTATTTTGTGATTTTTTTTTTAGTATGGGTTAGAAATACTGAAAATAGAATGTAGCCTAGAACCAGTTACATTGTCTGTCTTTCCACTTTCAAATCAGTGTGCAAGAGGCAATTGTAGAAGTAGCTGCTGAATTAAACCCTGATAGTTCTACTCAGCAGCAGACAAAAGCCATCAACAAAGTGAAGAAGAAAGCCAAAAAGATCCTTCAAGAAATGGTTGCCACTGTCTCACCGGGAATGCTCAGGTATTAAAAGATAAGGTAAAAAGCTTCCAGTAAGAGCCAGCTTGTTTTGAGCATACAGGATTCAGCCATTGGACTTTGTGCTCCTAGCTCAAACCTCTTGGTCCAAAAGATGTTTGAAGACCCTTTTATCTTAAAACCAACATTTTATCAGACCTCTTTGTTTTCCCTCTTTTTTTTTTTTTTTAATTAATAAATTTTATTTTTATATTCCCCATACAATTGCAATCCCCCCATTCTGATATTATAATATGTATTATTTCAAGTACATACATATACACAACCAAAATAAAGCAAGTCTCTTTCAGGAGAAAAAAAAAAAAAAAACCAACATTTTATATGCAAATTCACCTTCCATGGGAAGTAGCACGGTGGAAGGCTCTAAGGTGCCTTAGTGTCTGTTAGTTGATTGGAGCCATTGTAGTGCTGCCCCGGTCTGCTCTCTGGCTCTCTGTGAGGCATGTGTACAGACTGTAAGTTAAAGGGAGTGGTTTTGTGTCATACTGCTCACCTTAAAATCCTTTGTTGAAGTATTCTGTTGATATTTACTTCTGAAGTGTAAAGTGTGCTGCTATTAGAGTTAAATGTAACATCTTAGTCTATAATAAGTGAATACTTCTCCCTAATTCCACAGTTCAGATACACACACACCCCCACTCACTCACTCACAGAGTTATTTATAGCACTCTTAGGTTGCAGATTTAGAAACTTAAGTAGAGAAAAGTCTATATATTTACATACATGTATATATATATTTTTTTAACTTTCAGACTAACTGGATGGGTGCTGCTAAAGCTGTTCAACAGCTTCTTTTGGAACATTCAGATTCACAAGGGTCAACTTGAGATGGTTAAAGCTGCAACCGAGGCAAGAATTCCATGAATCTGTCATTCTGTTTTCTCCACGTATACAGAGGATTTTAGAGTTCTTTTGGAGATGTTCTCTTGTGCACTGTTGTGCATTCTGCACCAATTGAAGATCCCCCATTTGCGATAACTACAGAGACAAGTATTTGAGAGGAGCAGGTGGGGGAAGGGAGCAATATACAGGATACTTTTTCTAAGAAACGTGTTAGCTACTTTGAAAATCAGGTAGAATAATCTCATTTTATAAATGAGGAAGTGAAGGCACAGATTATGAAATTGTCCCTAGTCACAGTTAACAAATGACTTGCTTAGAATTTCCGACCAAATCAAGCTTGACTCCAAACCTGTGCTCTTTTTATATGATTAAGGCTGCCTCTCAGCCTATAGAGAATCATCTTTTCTCCTCAGTGCTCTTCTCTTTTCGCCGATTCTTTGTTGTTGTTTTTAGCTATTAGCATTAACTGGAAAGAAGTTCATATTACTGAAAAATGTTTTTAAAGAATGAATCACTGATTAACCAGTGTTTGAGTGACTTGTAGTCAAATAAGAAGTGCAAATTGTGATTGAACTTTGCATTCCAATTTTGAATTTGGCATTTTTCTCTTTACTAGGCAAATTTGCCACTTATATTTCTACCAGTTCATAGATCTCATATTGACTATCTGCTGCTCACTTTCATCCTCTTCTGCCATAACATCAAAGCACCATACATTGCTTCAGGCAATAATCTCAACATCCCCATCTTAAGGTAAGATAAGCCTATTTTGAAATTTAAGGTATGAAAAAGATTTTATTTTGAGTTTTATTATATGTTTTGGTACATGTTATTGTAAAGAGGATAGCTCTTATATTACGTGTGTTTAGTGTGGAAAATCTGGCAAGTACAAGAAAACATTAAGACTGTTTCCATTATTTCTGTGTTTTATGTGTGATTCTTGGAAAGCTATGACTAACTAAACCTTAATGGGTGATATTTAAGTGGATAAAAGTGCTTTGAAAGACAAGATAGCAAATTATTCTATCCTGCCTGGCAGCAGGAAGGTGGGGTCAGGGTAGAGGTGGGGAAATAGAGCAATCAAAATGATATGTAAGGGTAAGTAAGAAGAACCACACCTGTTACTTCAACCTCATGATTTAGTGGAGTTAGAAACAAGTGATAATTACAATATTTGAAAGGTTTTCAGATTGCAATGCATTCCACCCAGAGGAAATAGTATGTGAAAGCCAGAGAGACTCAAAAGCTTGGTATGATCAGGAAATGGTGGATGATTACATAGATTAGAATGTAGGGTGTGTTGGAGGGGTCAGAGGCTAGAGGAGGTGACTACATAGGTAGTGAGAGCGGGATCAAAACAATTTGCAAGCCAAGAGTTTGGAGTATATCCCATACTTGAGAAATGACCATTTAAATTAGAAGGAGTAGATCAATTTAGACTCTATTGCGATAGTTCAGGCAAGGGAAAATGAAGGCTCAAATTAAAAGTGTCATAGTATTCTTGGAGAAAAAGCCAAAGATTTGAAAAATACGTAGTAAGTTGAATTTACAAACCCAAGTGCTAGTTCATATGTGGTTCAACAGAAGGGGAGAGAAGGGAAGGTGGTTAGCACCAGGGAACTGGATAGTAGTGTGGCTGATCACCATGGAAATTGGTGAGTAGTTCAGTGGGTTTCAAACATCAAAGCACAAACTAAGCTGAGCTCCCGCAGTAGTGAGGAGTAAGAGGAGGGTGAATCTGGAAAGTGGCTAGCAGGTTGTGTAGGTAGGGCCTCACGAGATGGCTGTTGTCAGTACCTTGCACGCTGTGACATCTGATCCTTGGCTTCACAGTCCAATGAGTGCCTGTTCCCTTGGCTCAGAGTTCTGTAGCTAACCAGACTCTTGTGAGCAATGGAAGAGAATCTATTCTTTCATTCCATCAGCCCCTACTTACCCAGCTGTGCTTTAGACAAGAGCGAACATGATACATACATACTTACCAAGAAATAACTGTAATACAGTGTACTAGGACTCTACTGGACAGATGTACTGTATTTTCCAGGTATTAGAGTATTTATGCTTAATCTCCTGGGCACCTCTTCCCTGTATCAAAGAGCCTGGAAAGCAGAATTAAAAGGTCATGAGAAAGTTGGTGGTGGGCATAGATTTAGAGCTGAAAGGACTCTGCCATTTGGGCTTAGGAGAAGCCTTGCCCCATAGTAGTTTTCCGTAACCCAGAATAAGTCATGTACTCATTCCCTCCAGGTTTGGTTCTTAGCTGGAATATCTTGAAAGTGTTTAATACACACCTATACCTTCTCATAATCCTTTCTTTTTTATGAACTCTTTGGCAGTCATTGCTTAGCTCATCATCTCTTCAGACATGACTGACTGCAGGTGACCTGGCCTGTTGGCAGTTTTCTTTTGTCACATGCCAGTCTACACATTCACAGGCCACTTCTCAGGGGGTGTTATTTTTGTGGATGGTTTATCTCATTTGCTGTGAATTTATCCTGCAGGATTTTACTCTCAAGGAGTGATAGTGTAAGCTCTGGGGACCTCTTACTGTGGTTCTTACTTTGACAATAGAAGATAGTAAAAATATGTTTATGTTACTCTCACTATTTAAAAGAGTAGAAGGAGGCACTGAATTTGGAACGGTTGACTTAAATTTCATCTATTTTGTAGAAAGAGGCATGACATGATGAGAAGAATTGTTTTGTTCCTATGTGTGTATATATGAAGAAATTTTTGTTTCTTGTTTTAGAAAGAGGGCTATGCTTGGTTTCAGTGTGATAAAATTATCCTTGTTTCACAGAAACACTCTCTAAGTAGTACTTATTTGTGAACATATCCCCAAAGGAGCATCACATTCATTTTTGTAGTAAATATGCCAGAGGCAAATTTTAGAATGACTAACAGTGTCTTGAGATCCAGAGCAGGGTTTTAAAATTTAGCAATATTTTATCATCTTAAAATATGTACCATTACTTTTGCAGGGGATACATAAACTCCTTTTGGCTTGGAACACATGTAACTGTGCTTCATTATACACAGTGATGTTCTAAAACTGATGAATAATCTAAATGACTAAAATGTGTCAATGTGTCAATAGTGTAGATAATGAGAAAATGTTCATATTTTCATTCTCAGCAACTTAGACAATACACGTGGTTTAGATCCAAACAGATTTTTTTGAAGTAACTTGGAATTTGAATATTTTAAAATTAATTAATGCATTCTTGAATTGATAGTACCTTGATCCATAACCTTGGAGGCTTTTTCATACGACGGAGGTTAGATGAAACGCCAGATGGACGGAAAGATATTCTCTACAGAGCTTTGCTCCATGGGGTATGTGTAACAGCAATAATCCTTAAGGCCGATGTGGTAGTTGTCACTGTGGGAGGAAAAAGAGACTTAACTGAGATTTTTTAAAAAACTGTTGCATGATTAATTATTTGAGTGATTATTGTTTGGCCGTGGTTCAATTAATTTTTGTTATCATCATAACATCACATTGAAAGAATTGTCTTGCTGTTATTTATGTGAGTAAAATATTTTGTCAGTAGTGAAGTTAGAGGGCTGTTTTTTTTTTTTTAATTTAATTTTCTGAGCTTATACTAGGTTGAGTGCTCATGAGTTCATGTCTTAATCTCTCCTTATATCCCAGCATATAGTAGAACTACTTCGGCAGCAGCAGTTCTTGGAGATTTTCCTAGAAGGTACACGCTCTAGAAGTGGAAAGATCTCCTGTGCTCGGGCAGGACTTTTGTCAGTGGTGGTGGATACTCTGTCTACCAATACCATCCCAGACATCTTGATAATACCTGTTGGAATCTCTTATGATCGCATCATTGAAGGTCACTACAATGGTGAACAGCTGGTAAGAAGACCATATGGAAAAGTCTTCTTTGGTTTTTAAGTCTTTTGTTTTGAGATAAATGCCTTTACAATGAACTAATAATATTTTGGTGCTCCTTATTTTTAAAGCTCAGTAGGAAACTTGATAGGGTGGCCCTCTGAGTAGCTCTCAGCTCCTATGTCAGCCTGAGTGGTACTGCTGATGTGGCCTTCCTGCACCGGACAGGATTAGATTTATCAGTGTCAGCCTTGGACAGGGAATTGGAAAACTGCTGATCAATTTTCTAGGCTGTTATTGGCATTCTTGTCCTCTACTAGTTTGTACTTGATTCTTGTGGAGAACAGTAGTATACTAACTAAATCAATTAATGCTAAATGTTTTCTTTTGCATTGGCCAAATTACCTCTCCTCATGACACCATTACCTTTTTAGCATCTTCGAATACTAAACCTATCTTGACAGGTCTCAGTCAGTGATACCTATTTTCCTTCTTCATTCTTTGTCGCCTTTTCCAGGAAGAACTTCTAGTTTCCATTTAAAAAACTAACAGATTTTATTCTTTGGATAAAAGAATGTTTGCAGATGTATTAGCTTTATTTCTTATCATGTTGTTCTTTCAAATTGGAATTTAGGGAAAACCCAAGAAGAATGAGAGTCTCTGGAGCATAGCCAGAGGCGTTGTCAGAATGTTACGAAAAAACTATGGGTGTGTCAGAGTGGATTTTGCGCAACCTTTTTCTTTAAAGGTGAGTGTCTGTTAAGGCGTGGGCACAGCTCAATGTAGGGGTCTGGGCTTCAGCGCTGATTCTTATGCCTGTTCTCCATGTCACTTGGGGCTTCTGTTTTCCTCTGTCACAAAATGAAGAGTATGACGAGTATGGTGTTTCCTAAGTTTTTTTTTACCTAAGTATGTTTTTTGACAAAGGACAGCAAATGTCTGTCTTTCTATCAACATTTGTTACTTTTTTTTTTAATTCCTGAAAATTTTGCATGTTGCTTTTATATTGGTATACTATGTTTTAAAATTTTAGGAAATTTTTAAAGACATGGTCCCTAAAAGTTGGGTAAAATTGGCAGTCTCAGATGATGTTCTCTCCTGCTGAGTAGAATGTGATACCTGTATATCCACAGGGAGTGTGCCATTCTCTCAGAGAAGCCTGGGACTCTGTGTCCCTGACGTCCTGGTAATTTTAATTTCCTAAGATTTTTGAGGTGGTTAAGGAGAAAAAGAAAGGGGTAAAAAGTTGGGATTCTGGGGTAAATGAGCAGAGTTTCTATGTCTCCTGTTCTGCTTCTTGGTTTTACTTTAAAAGTTTCTAGCAGCTCTGCTAAATGCTTTTTGGCCTTAAATGCTTTCCACTTTTAGAATCTCATCATTTCTTAATGTGCCCCCATCTCTTTAAAAAAATGTTTAAAACTGTTGCAAAGTTTCTTTGTCTTGTCATGGTTTAACTTTTAGATTGAGGTTCTTTTGAATAGTATATATTTTTGAAAAGTATGATTGTGTTAACTAGCACTGTTAAGAACATTGGCAATGTCAGATAAGTTCATGAAGATGGGAGAAAAGTTATTTTTTTCTCTAATTTTTAAATGATTTGATAAGCATCATCCTGTTCTTTGTATATTCACTTCTTAGATTTCATGCTGAACAATATTCTTTGTTTGAGTGATTCTGGACTTCTGCAGATAGCTTGGGATCCAGAAAGTATTTTTCATCTACTGAACACTGCACATTTTATTAACAACTCCGTTTCACTTTTGTTAGATCAAATTATATATGTCTTATGTATGTTTTAATTATGTTTTATCAAATTATATATTATTTTATATATGTCTATGAAAGTGGGACATTTAGAGTAAATGATTGTGGGTTTTTTGTTTATTTTTTTAGGAATATTTAGAAAGCCAAAGTCAGAAACCTGTGTCTGCTCCACTTTCTCTGGAGCAAGCGTTGTTACCAGCGATACTTCCTTCGAGGTCAGGTTTGCAATATCAGTTATTTCTCCTAATATTTAGAAAAGCAGATTAATGTAACTCAACACACGTGTTCTTGTTTTCACTTTCTCACTTGAATAGCCTTTCTTGATCTGGTAAAGATAGTAATATGACATATTGTCATGTTAGTGTGGAGGTTTTTGATTATTTGCATAGTACAATCTTACTGATTTTTGTAAATCATGTAGAAGAATTAAAATTGAATAGAATTTTAATTAAAAAAACAATATTGAGCACTTCCTTTAACATGTTCAAGTGTTAAATTTTGGGAAATTGTTTAAAATGAGGCATTTGCTTTATGCACTCCTCTATAGTAGATATTGAAAGTGGTGCACCAACAGTCAAGTGTTCTGGCCCTAAGAATGTATTAAACATAATAAAAATATTATGGAGGAAATAGAAATAATTATGAGGAAACCCATAGAAATAATCTATTTGTGGTTTAAATTTAGATTATGTAATAATTTGAAGGATCTTATTAATTTACTCCTTAGTCCCATATGGTTTACTTTGTACAAAGCTGGGGTTGTAGAAAGCTAATTAAAAAACAACTTTTCAGACCCAACGATGCTGCTGCTGAAGGTACAGACACTTCAATTAATGAGTCCAGAAATGCAGTAGAAGAGTCCTTCCGGAGAAGACTGATTGCAAATCTAGCTGAGCACATTCTCTTCAGTAAGTGAAAAACCAAACTGTACTGCAGCTTTGGCATGGTGCAGTGCAACCCACACAGGTTTTAGAATCTGCTGAAGTTGGATTTAGTGTTTAGTACACAGGTGGAGGTAGGTGAGTTACTAGAAAGGATTTGAGAGTGTGGGGACCTGAGGGAATTGAATAAAATAGCTCGCACAGTGCCTTATAAGTTCTAAGTGCTCATCTGGTAGTTCTTGTGCTTCTTAAAAAATAATATTGTCAAAATGACTTGTTGCTTCTTTTGCTATTGAATTTATTTCTTTGAACTAACTTATGATGCAGTGTTTAGCTTTAAAATTTTATGTCCCTTTCCCTCTGACCCCATGATTATTTTTGTCCAGCAAGTATTGAGTAGCTGTTATGTGTATATCTTTGCTTTAACACTTGGAAATATAAATTGACTAATGAATTTTTCTGCACTCAAAGAGCTTATACTCTTCACATGGGATAGTTGTATGCAAATAATTCAGGCGTGAGTGACCCAGAACGGAGTGAGGTGAATGTAGAATTACATTCCAGATTGCAGTGTTGTGTCATGTTGCATGGTGTAAAGACTGCTTTAAAATCCGCTGGCAGGGGCCTCCCTGGTGGCACAGGCTGTTGAGCACAGCACGGTGAAGCTGGCCGCAGCCAGTGTGGGTTCAATCCCGGCTGGTTGGCGAGATACCCACATGGTGCAGCAGACCTCTCCTGTCTCACCCGCTGCTTCCCTCAGCAGTGTATTTCAGTCAGTCTGCCTGTTCTGTTCCCCACTCTGTCTCTGGTGAATCCTCTTACCCTTCCAAACATCTGGCGTGTACCCTGGTTCTTGTATAAATAAATAAATCTTAAAAAAAATAAAATAAAATCCACTGGCAGTGGGGCTTTCGGCCACAGTGGGCTCCCCTTGATGGTCCATGTGCCTCGATATTGTCAGACTCTTAGCACTTCCAGCCTAGGGGTTTCCTCATCTTGTCTTACTCCTACTAGTTGCTACTGTTCCTGCTTCCTTTTAGGCCAGAGTATTCTTTCTTGAGCACATCTGACTGTGTCTCTTCCCTGCTAAAAATCTGGATGTTAAAAATAACACAGCCTTAATGTGGAAAAGTTGGGGGGGGGAAAAAAAACACTACCCAAATAACCAGGGTATTGCTGTTTAGTAAATTTCTTTATATTGTGCTATTTCCATTTATAACAGGTATTTATTTATTTATGTTTTAAAATTTATCAGGTAGGAAGGGGGTACATTTTTTGTACACTGGAGACAAAATCAGTTATGAGGAAAATATTCATTAATTTATTGCCGTCTCAAAACACTCATAAATTGTATCCTTGTTTTGGGTTATTTAATGGACAGTCTTGTATTTGGTTTATGTAGTTATAATATTCTATAAATTCTACGTGTGGGGTTATGGGCTCTAGTCATTTTCAAATGTACTTCTGCCTCCTCTGCCCTGTCTCTAGGCCGGTTGAAAGTCATTTTTACACAGCGCAGTGAATTAGGTGGTATTTTCATTTCACCAGTGAGGAAGCTAATGCTTAGGAGTTTTAAGTAGTTTTCCCCAAGTCATGAAATTAGTCAGTGTAGAAGTTAGGATTTAAGCCCAGATTTGCTGACTTCAAATTCACCCCCAACCCTGTATTTTTGTTTTAATGTGATGAGCACCGCACGAAGAGTGAAGTAGAGCCAGGAACAAGTCAAGAAACTGAGAAGTGGGATATCTCACAAAATTCCCAAAACAGACTCATACTTTGCATCTTGGTAGTTCCATAAAGGTGTCTCTTGGTCATTCAGTAGCTAAACCCGCTGAATTAAATAGAAGGCGGACCTGTCTTTAATTGAATTCTGTTATATGATGAATAGTGATC